ACGCTATTCCATTTTTTACATTAATTCCTTTCTTTACATACCACACATTCATGGCATTTACATCCATTTCGATTGGGAAAGGTGATTTGAGTCTTTTGAGATCACAAATGTGATCACAGAAGAAATTAAAATCCTATCTCAGAGCACCACTGCAGTGGACAAAATGTTGACTTTCACGCGATCATTCTTACCTGTTCGATCTCTTTATTGCTGAAGTAATTCCCTGGTGTTTTCTCAAGTTTATGTACATTTGCGCCTACGAATTAAAAAAAAAATAAAACACACAATTCAGTGACTAAGCCAAGCTACTGTATGTGCCACATTTCTTAGTGTGAAACTGTCGTGTAGAGAAGTCAGAGTGTAATGACACGTGCCCATTCGCTCTGCAATTTCCGCAACGCGCTCCCCCCAAATCCCATTGATAGCGATGAGCACGCTCTCCCCGGGCTCCACCGCGTTGAATACGGCGCACTCCATTGCAGCGTGGCCCGAGCCGCTCATGGATAGCGTCATGTTGTTCTCGGTCTGAAAGGCGTACCGGATCCCCTTCTTTATGTCGTTCATGATCTAACAGAAGAACAAACATGAAAACAACACGGTAAGAAATTTACACTCCCAATGTGCACACTCACAAAACATGGTTAATTCAAGGCTCCCTCTAGTGGTACATGAAATAATCGCCACCTAAGTGCAGTTCAGTTGCATTTAACTTGGTTCCATTTTTCTTTCCCGTTCAGTTGTTTTACATTTTGAGTACTGTACGTTACATTTGCATTTAATCTTGCTCTGTTTTTTTTTTTTTTTTACTTTATTGGACTTCATGTACAATACATTCTGTATTTTAAGTGGTGTTTATGTTAATAATGTCACAACAATAATAAATAGCTGCTACTTTTTGCGCAAAACCTAATTACAGTTTTTGGTGAACACTTGGTGGCTACTGCATTGTAATGTTGGCCATTTTGGTAGCACTTGGAGAGCTCAGTATTTTTTTTAGATGGTTCTTGCTGTAAAAAGTGTGAGAACAACTCCTTATGTCAGTAATCCGTGTCCGTAGATCCAGATCCAAACAACAATCCATTAGAAGTGAAATGACAAAGCACAAGTCCATAGAAATTTAGTCACAAAGAGCAAGCCCTCCCTTTTTAAAAGTTGGGTTAAAAAGTGCCAAACAAATGCATTACCTCATACATTTCTGGATGCAGGTGACCGATTATGGGCTTGGCCCCTGCAGCGAGGACACGCGGGGGGACGTTGGAGGGTCCCGGTCCGAACAAGTAGCGCAGAGGCACCTCGAGTGGCCGCAGCATGCACGCCGGTGGGGGGATGGTGACGGACGACGCGGAGCGGTGGTCCAGGCGCTGCGCGAGCGGAACGTCTAGGGCCGCGGCCGCCGCCTGCTGGGCCAGGAGCCCGCTCCTCCGGCTGAACAGAGTCCGCTGCATCATGGCTGTTGTGTCCTGGGAAGCCTGGAAACCAGGGTAAGACTGACGCTGAGCTCTGAGCCCCGTGCGCGTTTTGACTTAAATGTTTTGAAAGACAACAGGTCTTTGACCTATTGGGCATGGGGCGGTGTGCGTCACTGGATGGAGGGGTTTAGAGTGGAGGGCACTTACACGGGGATATTGACATGTATTTGTTGCACTTTTGATAGACAGCACTGTGTACACATATAGGCCGTCTGCTTTGACTTATTTTACTCTAGTCTCACATTTATCAGCATTTTTTTTACTGCGCATAGTCAGGAAAATACCCAAAAAGTACAAAGTGAACAAAACTAACACGTTTTGCTCTGACATCCTAGACTTGAGCAGTATCAGGAACTTCAATCTTAAATCTACAGATGGAAACCTGATTAATGTTATATTGGCTAAAATATGCATCGGTGCATCTCAATAATGTGAAAAGGAAACTTTGATTCGCTCCTCTTTCATCTATAACTGTTTCAAACAACAAAGTGTATGCAGAAAAAGTGGTTAAGATTGCACGACTGTCTGTGTCTTATGTGTTGCGTTGTATTATTTTGTCATTTTATGTGAACTGTTCTTTGGATGGCGGCGCGGGCACCCGCAGCGGCTCCTCTTGTTGTCTGGTTGAGAGGGAAGAAATTTCATCTGTGTTGTATGTTGCACATACAGCAAATTTGACAATAAAGTTGTACTTGACTTGACTTGAAAAGGGATGGGCCGATGGGCTGCATGGTCCATGACTATGCTCTAAGTGGCCCTTGCTTCATTAAAATAAATAAATAAATAAATTTAAAAAAATCAAGTCCTTTATAAATAAGTGTGTGCGCACGCGCGTGCAATAAGAATCGGTATTTGGAATGATATGCAGGAAAAATGTAGATCTCCCATAAAAACATTTTGACTGAGTTGATTTCAGTGAGAAAAAAATGTACAAAAACATTTCTTGCACTGGATGTTTGTTTCTTTTTCAGCAGTTTTGTGCTGTTCTTAATGGTCAGCTAGGAAATGGAAGGCACTCAAAAAAAGAAATAACTTAACGATTCACCTCACAGTGCAGCAGCAGCAGCTTAGAACTGGTTAGGGTTAGCTTGCAGCTCCTGTTTTTTTTTTTTTTTTTGTTGCTACGTATTAGTTCTTCCACAGAGTGACATTGGCTTTGGGGGAGAGGAGGCTCCTCTCTGGTTAACCAATCAGCGGATATCCAAGCACTCAACACACACACAAACCCACACGCGTGCACACCGGCACACTGATTATCAGCACGTTCAAAACAATTGCTACGTTTTACTGTACGTCCACGTCCGCCTTCAAAATGTTACACAATTCACGTTTAAACCCGATAGTTAAGTTTGAATGCACTTTGTGTTGGAGATGATTTTATTTCACAACGTGAAGCGGAAGCCAGACGGAAAAAAAACATTACATTCAATTATTTATTTATTTATCTATTGAAATTAAAAAAAAATCACATTTTCTCGCAGCAATTGAATCCACGCAAATACTTCTTCATCCTGCCGTTATGTCATGCGTTGCAGGCTGTGTCCTTATCTGCGTCTGGCTTGGTAAATAATTAGACCTTTGGTAAATAAGTGGGGCCCGTTGTTACCCTATAGCGTTCTGGCCTTTGCACTAGACGCAAGACTTGAAATGTGGCCAAGCAGAGCAGGAAGGATGAGTACGCAACATGTAAATAACCGCATGCCAGCTATTGAATTCTGCCCGCTGTCATCACTTGATCCAGTTTACTGAGTCTATGTTTTTGTTTTTGGAGCCCTTTGGCTGAAAACATGTGATGTGTGAGTCCCACACTTGCGCTGGAAAGGGCACATGAGGGGAAGTTGCTGTCATTTGTTTATGCTTCAATCTTGTTGTTTTGATTTGAAAAGGATCTTGATAACAGGATGAGCTGATAGCAAAGAACACAACAACTCCCCTGTTCGAGGTTGAAAGACTTTAATGGCTTAATGGCCTGTTGACAGAATCTGTAAGAGTCCACACGAATGAAACAAAAACAGGTTAGATGAGATAATGCCGGCATGTATTCTTTATGTAGTCTCTGATCCACTGGTAAAAGGACACTTTCATCCTCTCCTCTTTCATCTATAACTGCTTCAGACAACAAAGTGTATGCAGGAAAGTGGTGAAGATTGCACGACTGTCTGTGTCCTATGTGTTGTGTTGTGTTATTTTTGTTATTTTGACTTCAAGATGGCGCCGCGTGAGTGGCTGCCTTTCCAGCAGCTCCTATATTTTGTTGTTCTACTTCTTCCATTCATAACTTTGCTGCTGTGAATTGGGAATTTCTCCATTGCGAGACTAATAAAGGTTTTCTTATCTTATCTTATCTTTATCCTCTGCAATAAACAACTAATATGACCACAGCTTACTGAGAAGCTGTCTCCATGTACACTTAAGATATGTCTATATTCTTGTCACCACAGGTGACCACCAGAATGAGCACCATTTGTAAACTTTGTCTTTACGCTCAACATTTTTTTTAAAAATACAATATTCCTCAGAACAGGTTTAATTATCCCAAAATGTCTGAAAAGAAAAAGAAAACGCAATAAATATTTTATTTAACTCAATTGCTCACCATTTCAATTCATATCTTTAGTTAATTACACTTATTAAGGCATTATGCCTAACAGGTAGATAAATTAGTTGTGTCCTCAATAGCAATAGGATGAACAATATGCCAAATAATGAATGGCCTGTGTTGTGTATTTCTGTCCAGTGCCCCCCCCCCCCACCCCCAGCTTATGCCTGCTCTGATGTTGTGAAACCCTACAAAGATTAAATAAATCGTATTTCAACACAAAAGGAACACAATGTAACCCTTCAAATGTGCTGCTTCAACATAAGTTGGCGCTCATCTAAAGTGGCTGGCATCTGTCAGAAACATTGACAAGGCTTGATGAGAAATTTTCTTTTTGGGAGTCCATATAAATAGGTTTTAAAATGTTCCAGCTTAGTTTGTACTTTTCGTTTGATTGCTTCACAACATGACAACTGTATGTCGACTATGTTTGCAATGAATGCTTTTTTTTAATCATTCCACTTGTTTTTTGAACCAGTATTGCCCATGACGCTAAAATAAACACAGTGGTTTAAGTGGACAGTATTGTATCAGTCTTACAAAATAAAATTATATATATGTATGTATAGTGGGTGAGTGTATGTTTATAGATGCATATAGTGTAAATGTATTCATTTATGTATTCATTTGCCTGTTCTTATTGTTCACAGCTACATTTTGCCATTTTTAAAATTCCGTTTCTATATACTCAGAATGTTTCTGAAGGCAACACGATATTTTCGATAGATAAATAGATAGATACTGGTTTCGTTTATATTTATTGTAGCTGCTGTATAATGGCTGGTGCTGATGCTGATGCGACGTCATCACATGAGACGGTTTTTTATTTTTTTTGCCCCGGTTTTTGCCTGAGAGGCGAGTTGACGGAGCATCCTCTTTATCCTCTCCCCCTCCCTTGCAGTTTTTTTATTTTTTTTGCCCCGGTTTTTGCCTGGGAGGCGAGTTAACGGAGCATCCTCTTTATCCTCTCCCCCTCCCTTGCCTCCCTCTTTCCTCGCCGTCACCCATTCTCGTCTAAATTGACACTCTACGCAGCCAGGCTCCCACCCCTCCATCCATCCATCCATCCGGCCAACATTCCCTCCTTTCCCCGGGCCGAGTGCAGTAGGGAAGGGAGGCTGCAAGCGAACCGAACGCGCGGAGGACGTCGGAGAGACCAAAATAGGAACGGGCGAATCCTTGTGCTGATTCTCGCGCGGCGCCATCGAGGTAAGAATTCATTTATGCTGTGTTTGAGTCATATTATCGGCGTGTACTCCTAAACGCATCTCACTTCGGTGGTGGTATGGCGGCGGGGGTTGTTCAGGGAGGCCTGGTTTGGATGTGACGACGTCAAAACGGTTTGCTGCGTCAGAGCATCCAGAAGGACAAGAAAAGACATAAATCCATTTTATGCAATACGCGCGCCGCCTGCACTTCAGTTGTTGACATGGATTTATCATTGTCAACGCTACCCAAACGCGTTCGTGCTGACGCAGTGTACAGATGGGAAGATTTGGTTTGTGTTTACGCGGCCTGTTTTTGAGGTGCGGCAAGATGGAGGAGGCAGTGCATCCAGCTCGCAGCCCAGTCTGAAAAAATACAATGAAAATGTCGCCTCGCTCGCTCGATGCTTCACAGATAACGGGCTACACTTAGTAATGGCACAATTTTTTAAATTTAGAAAATCGTGGAACTGAATGCTTTATCCGGGTCCTTGGTTGAAGTCCCCGTTTATTTTTTTTTTAAGTCAATCGAGGCAAACCCAGTCAAGATTTGTTAATGTTCATGTTTATCCCCATTTTAAAATGTGAATTTGAGAAAATTCTCGTTTCTTGAGCAACATAAAGGCCTTAAATCCTAACGGAAGATGGCTGATTATCTAACAAGTGAATCAGCCAACAGCTGTAATTACTCCAATTAAGAAAATTAACATTTACTGTAGTTTACGCTTTCAACGACTTTAATATTCACATCTTTGTGATGAAATACGTCTCGACTGCATTCTCTTCGGCTGACACTGATCGCGGTGCTACTACTGCTCAGAACGTCAGACTCTTGCTGTTATCACCTTAGCACATTCAGTGTCACCGTGAAACAAAGTTGAAACATTTTGTACTTTTATTGACAACTGTCTTGCCTTCCTCTCCGCTCCACTGGGATAAATTATCATTTCATTTATCATTTTTCACAGCAACATGTATTGCGACCCTCTTTCTGAAATAAGTCTGCATATGTACAGTGGCAAGATGGAATAGTCCATTGCATGAGAGGGGAGGTGAAGTCCTTAAAATGCTCAAATTAGGTCGATTGTCAACTTGTTTGTACCCCATTTAAGTGTTTACATAAATTTCATTGGCTCCAGAATCAATTTGATGGGATTTGCTAACATTTTAGCCATTTTGATACTAACAACGGCTCACTTGGAGCAAATCTGATCAGATTTGGTACCTGTTCTGAAAAGTCTTTAATTAGATAATCCAAAAAACGAAGGCCTTGCTTATCCCTAAAATGACACTCCATCCTTAAATCTAAGGTCTTAAAAATGCAGTAGTGACACAAACATTCTGGAGAAGAATCAGAAATTATTCCCACTTCTTTAAAAAAAAGTTTAAAAAAATGGCCAATTTTCTTTGACAGGCTTAAGCCTTAAATATTGCTTAAACGGCATCGTTGAATCTGAAGATACACTCATCACCAGATGGAGGCTCTTCAAAATGTCCCTGCAAATAAAAAGGGATGACTGGATCACAGACTGTTGAATTTCCACACAAATGCCAACGCATCCATTGGATGATTGATGAAAGAAATAATAATTGCCGTCTTTTTTTTTTTCCTATTCATCACTTTCCAAATCTCTCTCTTTGTCTACCCGTGCAGGTGTCCAGGGCGTGTGCGTTTAGTCACACAGCTTTTCAGCACTGCCGCCCACTCCCACAGCCATCAGTAACATGGCCGGGGCGTCGGTAAAAGTGGCGGTGAGGGTGCGGCCCTTCAACTCCAGGGAGATGGCAAAGGACAGCAAATGCATCATTCAGATGTCAGGAAACACCACAAGTAAGTTGGACTCTTTGACTCATGATTTATTGCTAACAACCTGACATCAGGGGCAGAGCTTTCGCATGGATGGAGTTATCCTACATCCCTTGATCCTCTGCCACATTTCATTTCTATTAACTATACATTTAAAGAACAACTATACAATTGGTCCGAATGCAAACTCCCAAAGAATCTGTCTTTGGCAAAGCATGTTTTAATCTTACACTCAGCGTCAATCAAAATCGGCATGGCTGAGAAGTCATTGTTTATCATACCATCCACAGTCATGGTTTCACGAAATAAAACTCAAACATATCCCAATTCATGTCACACTAGTAGCTGCGTCGAAATCCATTGACTGCTAATGTAATAGTTGGCCTGTTGTTTATTTACTATTAGTTTGTTTTCCTCTCAAAACTGCCTCGTCTCTCGCTGCTCCTTGCTGGGCGTCTGCCTGTCTGAAACGCACATGCCAAGTAGTAATAATCCGGGTCATCGGTGATGTAAACAGAATTACTCAGCATGCCTAATACTGAGCAGGAAGTAATAATAATACAAATAATCTTGATACCACCTTTAAAACTCATTCACTCCCAAAGATGTATTTAGACGTCTTTTCAGATGCCACACATTTAATCCCAGCTCCTCATTTTATATTGACTGTACTTGAACAGGGTCTGAAAATGGCCTTTTCAATGGTTCATTTGACTGCGTGAAAATGGCCTTTTCAGACCCTTTCAGACCCTTTTCAAGTACAGTCAATATAAAATGAGGAGCTGGGATTAAATATGTGGCGTCTGAAAAGACATCTAAATACGTCTTTGGGAGTGAATGAGTTAAAAACACGTGTTTACAAAGTGCTTGAACAGACCAGCCCGAACAGTCACCCGTTTCGCTTTGAATCAGTCACTCTTCACTCAGCTCCTCTCCCTGAAACGTTCACTCAACACAGTTTTACTGATCGACATGAAATCGCGTCTCAAAGTGAAACAAGACGACTGCCATTTTGCATTTGGAGCAGCCATTTTGCGCTCCGTCGCACCTCCCCGGAAGAGAACTTGGGGAGGATCACATGCGCCATGCTGGCATCATCGAGGGAAACAGACAAAAGCTGCAGTCAGGACAGAGTGAGCGTCGAAGATCTTTTCTGTCATCACACCATCGTCGGGGATCTACAAGGCCACGTTGTTGTAGTTCGGGACCAGGGTCAGCCGATACTGGAGGGGTTGCGGTAGGGGGCGGCGTTTCCGTGCCGTTGTGCCTGCCGCTGTTGTATGGTGACCTGGTTTCAGCCAGAGATGTGAATATTTATCACTTTGATTTGTGTTCTTAGGTTTTCTTATATTTCCCAGTTTTCCCATCATCTTTTCCAGTAACATCATTTTAGAAATAGGAACAGTGAGCAACAGTAGGATGAGTTTGTGTTTAGCTTCTTATAGGGGAGGACGCCATGTAAAGTACCAAACATTTCATCGGGTGCTGCGTTAAATTCTAGTCTCATGAAAAATGTATTTTGCTTGTGAAATTCAAAAAGTGAAACTCATATTTGTTATCGATTCACTACACACGGAGGGAAATATTTTCTGATTTTATTTTGTGTCATTTGAACGATTCTGGGTTACAGCTACGAAAACCCACAATCCACCATCTCAAGAAAGGAAAATAAGACCAGAAATGTTTTTTTAAATACAGAATGATGTGGGAATTGTTTGTCAGTATTTTATTGTCTACCGGTATTTAGTCGTCTCTAATAATTTTTTTTTTTTAAAATTGAACTACTACAATAAATGAACTTTTCTAGTATATTCCAATTTGATGACATGCACTTGTATGCACAGCAGAGTATAAGTTAAATTTGTCTATGATTAATCATTTCACGAACAATAAAATATATGACATTAAAATGTAATGAAAAAAAAGGGAGTGAAAAGAAAAAAAATTAGACTGCGATGATCTAACAAGGCGCAATTTGGTAATTGGGTTCATTTGACTGTGTGAGCTTTGATTGACTTTTTCAGTCCTTATCATAAATTATAATGCCTCCATGTTTTGTGCGATTGTAGCGATCCTGAACCCCAAACAGCCAAAAGAAAACAAGAGCTTCAACTTCGACTATTCCTACTGGTCGCACACCACGGTCAGTGGGATTTACCTGCGTTGACTAGCCACTTAGGAAGTCACATATGATCCATTTAAAAACATATTTCTGCTGCGTGTACAGCCCGAGGACATCAACTATGCGTCCCAGATGCAAGTGTACAAGGACATTGGCGAGGAGATGCTGCTCCACGCTTTCGAAGGCTACAACGTGTGCATATTTGCGTACGGACAGACGGGAGCGGGCAAGAGCTACACCATGATGGGACGGCAGGAGACCGACCAACAGGGCATCATACCTCTGGTAGCTACTCATGATCTTGTTTGAATATGTTCGTAGAGGAAGTATGACTTCCATTATATGACTCATTCCTTTTTTTTTTCTTTCTAGCTCTGTGAGGACCTTTTTACCAAGATCAGCGACAGCAATAATGACAACAACATGTCGTACTCTGTGGAGGTAAGTTCATGTGCAGCCCAGAACAAAATTTTTTATTTTTTTTTTTGGCCAGGTACTCGCGCTTTGTGGCACACTCCGACATGTGACGTATGTTCCAGGTGAGTTACATGGAAATCTACTGTGAGCGTGTACGCGACTTGCTGAACCCCAAAAACAAAGGGAACCTGCGAGTAAGAGAGCACCCGCTGATGGGACCCTACGTGGAAGATTTGTCCAAACTGGCCGTCACCTCGTATAACGACATCCAGGACCTGATGGACTCTGGCAACAAGGCTAGGTAATCTTAAAGTTGTCCCTCTCAAATAAATAGTGAAGCAGGGTGGTGTGATGGCAGTTTTTTTTTTTTTTCTGTACTAGAATAAAGTTTCTCTGCCAAAATAATAAATATTTGCCAATTGTGTTTACTCACTCTCACCATTTACAGCCCCTGTACACAAGTAACAATGGCATTTATTTATTTATTTATTTACCATGCATAAATCTACACCATAACCTTCTATCCTCAACGATAGGTCATGAAATGATCAACGTAAGATCGATAAATTCATTCAAAACAGAGCAAAACTGAATTTCTACAAGCAACGCTTAGGTGAGCGATGCAAGTCGTGCAAGGACACCACCTAAAACCACAGTTTGTTTAAGAATAAAAATACAAATACAAAACACTAAAATAGATACTGTGCATAGTGCAATGTAAATCAAATAGAATTGTGTTAACGGTTAAACAGGACACACATTCAACTAGTGGTAACACAAACACACACGACAATGATTAATGTCCTGATAGCTTCATCAATTAAATGACTTGCACGAAGCGATGCATGCTGGGAACCGAATTTTTATTTTTAATTAATTTAAAAATATATATATATTAACAGTTGACTGCCGCTAATCGTGATGAATAGGGATAAGGTCGGCCATTGAAATGCATCGGGGAGAAAAAAAAAAGTTATTTTATGCTTACAATGTTTTTAAAGAATTGGCCAATTAATCTGAAATCTTTTTTTCTGCCAAAAATCATCTGTCCCAAAAAATCCATATCGGTTTGGTCGCAGTAATTAGGCATCCACTCCAGTAGGGGGCAGTGGCGCTTATTTTTTAATTACAGGCAAATTGATGCATTTTAAATCTTTTCTATACAGACCCCCAAAATATTGCTGATAAAATGATTCTTTGTTGTAGTTGATCAACACTTTCTGTTGTCTTTAACTTGAATAAGGATACAATGTAATGCAGAGATGTACTCATAACAATTTCAGGGACAAATGATACTAATTGTCGTCGTGCGGAGAGTTGAGGGGGGTGTGGGCACAAAATGTATACTTCTTCCTAGGCGGGGGACCTAACAGAAAATAATGAAGAAACGCTGCCTTAAAGCAACTCAACTTTATTTATAGGTGCACTTTAAAAGAGATATTGCTGCATACAATGTGCTGCACATGGAGGAACAATTTGTCACATGCTAACAAAGATACACGATGATAACTACAAATAATAATAAAGTTTAGAAAGTTAATAACATTAAAAAATGTTGTTTGCTTGTATGTTTTTTTTGGGGGGGGGGCGGGGGGGCACGAGCATTCTCTTGAGGTCTGAATGCCTTCAATTTAGCCAAGAAATGCCCACCAGCAGTTAAAATGAATTGAGATGGTGTCATTTGTCTCCAGGACCGTCGCTGCTACAAATATGAACGAGACCAGCAGCCGCTCCCACGCCGTCTTTAACATCATCTTCACTCAGAAGAAACACGACTCGGAGAGTGAAAACACATCAGAAAAGGTACCGGAGCCAATATCGCTTCTTCCAAGTGTGTTATTCTAAAAATACCTCACGTCTGCTCCTAGGTCAGCAAAATCAGTCTGGTGGACCTGGCTGGAAGCGAGCGGGCCGACTCTACCGGCGCTAAAGGAACCAGACTGAAGGTAAAGAGTGCTGCTTTAGTGGTTTCAAGATATGGACTGTGAATTTCTTTAGGTTTTTTGACTTGGAAATATTTTGGGGGGCTTTAGGAAGGAGCCAACATCAACAAATCTCTGACCACGCTGGGCAAAGTGATCTCCGCTTTAGCCGAGCAGGTAGGCTTGTCCACCCAAGTACACTCCACTCATTACTCAATACATCTTCAAACTTCTTAACAACTGCCGGCATCTCTCGCCTACATTTTGACAGGACTCCGCCCCAAACAAGGTTAGTTCGACAAAACGTGACCAAACATTTGTTCATGTTCAGCAACTCAATTCCCATACTTGAATGTGTGTAGAACAAGAAGAAGAAGAAAATGGAGAGCTTCATCCCCTACAGAGACTCAGTCCTGACATGGCTCCTGAGGGAGAACTTGGGTATGTGTACGTCCAAGTGCAAACATTTGAATTTAAAAACGTTAAGCTGTTTTATTTTGTGGGGGGAAGATGTGGTGGGCAAGAAAAGTACATACTTTTTGTGTTTTTAGGTGGAAACTCTCGCACCGCTATGGTGGCTGCTCTCAGCCCTGCTGATATTAACTACGATGAAACCCTCAGTACACTCCGGTGAGAGAATCTCTCCTTAAAACTTTTTCAAAGTCTAAATCATAGGTGTCAAACTCAAGGCCCGGGGGCCAAATCTGGCCCGCCAGGTCATTTTATGTGGCCCGCGAAAGCAAATCGCGTGTGTCAACTTGCTAAAATCCGTACCGAAATGTCAAATTGTCAAATAACGTTGAGATTTTGCAATAATTTTGTTACCCTGTTTAACATTCATTTGAACAGTAATTATTTTAGTAATTAATGATATTAATAAACTATTCTAATTGACTGGACTGATTTCAAAACTAGTAATCTATTGATTTGTTGTGTACAAGTAATAATATTGTGGTTCATAACGACCCTCCGAGGGAATATGTACAGTAACTCCAAATTGGCCCGCGACTAAAATTAGTTTGACATTCCTGGTCTAAATTATTGTATCTATTGCCACGTTTGGCAGAATCCTTGCATCTCCAAAATCACTTCATCTAAAAACATCCAGACTTTCATTCTTTAGGCGACGAAATGCCGCACGGCTCTCACACAGAGTGAGCCGTGACACTTCTCAGGCAGTTCAAGTGCTCAAGTTTTGAAAAAAAAACATTTTTAATGCCTTTTCCAGGTATGCCGACCGCGCCAAGCAGATCCGCTGCAACGCTGTCATCAACGAGGACCCGAACAACCGTCTGGTGCGAGAGTTGAAAGAGGAGGTGGCCCGCCTCAAAGACCTGCTGTACGCTCAGGGCCTGGGCGACATCATTGAGAGTGAGTGTCAGGACGGAAACTCGGTTATTTTCAACAAGTACACGTTTACGGTCCCCACAAAGACCATTTCATCAAGATGGGGGTGGTGTGTAGTGGGGCGGGGGGCGGGCGGGGGGCACATGAGCCAAATGACTCGACTGGAGTCATACTTAAGTCACTAATTTTACGACTTGGTTAGTTTAAACTTCTGAAACACTCAACTTGATAAATATTTGTATTTCAGGGCACATGTCTAAGCCCCCAGTCATTGTTTGAAGCAGTTAAATCTTTACATTTACACAGAGCACCAGAGGTTGTTATTGTTTGGTGCTCCCTTTTTTTTTTAACGACGCACTGATCTCATGGGAGAACTAAAAGACTTGCGGCACATCTGGGCATGGTTTATTGTTAATATATGTAAGTATGTCATTTTGATATAACTGAATCAACATTTTTTTTTCCAGTTTTCACTTTTTATTAACATACCAGGGAAACACAATTGCAGTTTGTTATCACAATACAATTCATAAATTCATATTTCACACAGTTGAGTTGCATGGCCTCTTTGAAACTGTAATTGCCCACCTCGGACTTGCATTATGGGACCCTGTGATTGGCTACCTTGACACATTTCTCTCCGAGGGCAGCGGTCCAGTTTTTTGAACCACAAAACGCATTGGACATATTTTGACGGACAGTCGGAGCGACACGGAGATAACCGCCTCGCCGTCGACTCGAAGGCAATCATTGTGGCGGCAAGACTGTGTGACTTAACTTCATTTAAGTAATGACTTTGACTCGACGTGCTTCAAATTTAGTGCGGGCTTCACATGTATTTTTTTTTTTGGGGGGGGGGGCACATTAGCCCTTTCAGGGACAGCGGTTAATACAGTGGACAGCTTATCATGTTATCAGGTTACATGGTGCAAGAAAGGGTTAAGTTGCAACATTCTTGAAACTTGAAGATTAAGCTTTAAGAGTTGTGTGCCCCTCCCGTGTGTGTGTGTGTGTGTGTGTGTGTGTGTGTGTGTGTGTGTGTGTGTGTGTGTGTGTGTGGGGGAGGGTAAAAAAGTCGCGTGGGGTGTTTTGTGTTTTGGTTTGTGTGTGTGTGTGTGTGTGTGTGTGTGTGTGTGTGTGTGTGTGTGTGTGTGTGTGTGTGTGTGTGTGGGATGGGATGAAAATGACGCTTGGAGTCTTAAGTGTTTTCCTCCTCTTTTGTCCTGTCAGCGTATCGATGCGGCGAACCGGTCATCAGCGGTTTACAACGTGTGTATAACGCGAGCACGCCTGCGCTTTGCAACTGGAAAAAAAACAAAAAAAACAAGATCCTCCACACCAGAGAGCAAAAAATAACGAGCCCCCAGCTGGCAACAAAGGGAAAATGATACAAATTGGTCATTCGACAAATGATTTCAAAATGATCGATTTTGTACACGTCGGTTCATTCGGTTCCACCTGCACATTCTAATGACATCCAATTCACTACTTCTGCTTTTACAAAGAGATTTTTTTTTTTCCCAGAGATGCCTTCATTTATCTCTCCACGATAATCGAAGTTATTGCGATGCACCTTTTGGCCTGGTGTACCATTTCGAATACCTTCTAAATCTAAATGAGCGTCAGAATGTTCGGAACAGCTCTCAGTGCGACGCAGTGCCGTCCTCAAATCGCGTTCCAGCATTTACATCGTCTTTGTAAAGGCAAGATCTTGTATTGTATCTCATTCGATTGTGCACTTGGATTTCATGTTTGTGTCTTGTCATCAAGCTGAAGCTTCCTGCACATTATAGTGAAGCGTTGCTGACAAGAATGAGTGTCTATATTCACAAGGGGGTTGGTTGTTTTGCGTCTTCTGCGCGTGGAGAGCGATGCTTCGGAGCGTGCACTGTCCAGGATTGAATAGCACGTAGCGTCGAACAGAAAAATGAGTCGTATGAATCCTCATGCTGCGGTGACTTGCTTCATTGCTGTTTTCTTTCTCATACACACACCAAGTACAGATGGGTGACAAATTATTGGAAACGAATGAATGAGTCAGTGCAGAAAGGCCCTTTTGTTTTTTTTTCAGGTCGAGTTGCGTTGGTCTAAATCAGGGGAAATTTGGGGACAAAGTTGAAGATGATGTTTATTTGAAACAGTTCAAAGTCATCTTTTCCTTTAATTTGTCATTCCTTTGTAGTTCCGTGCAACTAGGAGGTTAAAAAAAAAAAAGATCAATAAAAGCTTCTGGTCATTTCTGTCCATTTGCAATGGCTTTGGTACGATCCATGATTCTATTTATTTGAGCTTTCTCTTCTTCTTTTCTATTCCTCCCCGTTTTCCCTCCCCTCGTTTGCTTCCTCTTATCCGTGACTCTGCGTGCCCCCCCCCCCCCGCTTCTTTCTCTCCGTGCGTCTCTTTTTGCCCGGCCAGCGAGGAGGCCATCGAGAGGCTCAAGGTAGGCCGGATGGAAGCAGAAAACGGGAGCGCTCTCGTGCTACCTTGACTAACAAATGCTCCTATTTAGCATTTTTTTTTTCCATAGTCATGAGCCGTCACTTAGATTTTATTTATTTATTTATTTTTGGGTGTTACAAGCAAAAATTTTACTTCAAAGCCAGCTTCAGATATACCACAGCTAGAGTGAAGTGAATGTTATAAATGAGTTCAAAAATGAACTAAACTCTTTTGTGATCATAATTTGTCATATATTGATCCCAAGTATGATTTCAACTATAAATTCTAAACATTTTTGATGAGCATCATTAAGGGGGAGGTTACGCCGCATGATATGATTGAGTAATCTATTTGTTTTCCCCTCCAATAGGAAACAGAGAAAATTATTGCAGAACTCAATGAAACTTGGGAAGAGAAACTACGGCGTACTGAGGCCATTCGCATGGAGAGGTTGGTCCATTTCTTCATTTTACGATGGATTTACACTGCAGCACAATTCTGATGTTTGGTGCTCGAATGGCACAATTGGGATACGTGTCATCAAAATTTTAGAAAACTTTCCTTTTGAATCGCATCCAATCCTCCATTAAGCGTCTCCAGTTGGTCCAGAATGCTGCTGCTCGCCCCTTAACTGATACTCGTAGGAGGGAGCATATAACTGCTCCTCTGGTATCCCTTCACTGGCTCCCTATACATTTTAGAGTTCTTTTTAAGATCCTATTATTTGTTTTCAAATCTGTAAATGGCCTCACTCCACCTTACCTGTGGCACAATTGGGATACGTGTCATCAAAATTTTTGAAAACATATTCCTTTTGAATCGCATCCAATCCTCCATTAAGCGTCTCCAGTTGGTCCAGAATGCTGCTGCTCGCCCCTTAACTGATACTCGTAGGAGGGAGCATATAACTGCTCCTCTGGTATCCCTTCACTGGCTCCCTATACATTTTAGAGTTCTTTTTAAGATCCTATTATTTGTTTTCAAATCTGTAAATGGCCTCACTCCACCTTACCTCTCTGAGCTCTTCCACCCCTACGCACCTGCCTGGTGCCTCAGGTCTATGGACCAGACATTATTAGAGGTACCAAGAACTAAGCGGAGGCTCAGAGGGGACCGAGCTTTTTCCGTTGCTGGTCCCTCTCTTTGGAATGACCTCCCACTGAACATTCGGCAACCCCTCTCGCTGCTCATCTTTAAAACTCGTCTCAAAACTCATTTGTATTCTTTGGCTTTTGACTCAGCATGACTCAGACTTGAACTTAGTTGTACTGTTTTTCGGCTTTCTACTGTCTTCGTTATTAATTTATTATTTATTGTTGTATATGTGATGTTTGCTCCATGTACAGCACTTTGTATAAAGCGGTGGTTGTTTTAAAGTGCTCTATAAATACAGTTGAGTTGAGCTGACATCTTTGCACTAGCTGAGTCAACAAGTCACATGCAATTTGACACACTCGGTTTGAGCAAGTGGCAATCTACTTTATATCTTTGTGTGTTTGACAAATCCCCAAATCAGTATTTTGCAACGTAAATGATATCAATTAACTGTGCAATTAAATACAAGGGCCATCCAACAGCTAAAAATCATACCGGTACTCACAATGTGACTGTGTTCCTGCAGAGAGGCCTTACTGGCTGAGATGGGTGTTGCTATGAGAGAAGATGGAGGCACCGTTGGCGTTTTCTCCCCCAAAAAGGTCAAGTGTTTTATTAGAGACTTACTGAGTCCAAATCTGATTGTAACTTTTTTTTTTTCCCCGCTGCTTTAGACGCCTCATCTGGTCAACCTAAACGAGGACCCGCTGATGTCTGAATGTCTACTGTACTACATTAAAGACGGCATCACAAAGTAAGTTACATTGTATTCTTTGTATTTTGAGATCCTGTCCGTCCCGCTTGACTTCAAGTGTCTTCTGCTTCGCTAGGGTTGGTCGCGAGGATGCCAAGGCGCGCCAGGACATCGTACTCAGCGGGCATTTTATCCGAGATGAACACTGCACCTTCAGTAGCACCACCGGCCCTCAGGGAGAAGGTGGCTGGATTTATTAACAGAATAAAATCTCAAAGAATGACCATGAATTAAATAACGGTATTCACGTGTCCACAAATAAATATTTATGGCTATGACATATGTATAAGCCAAAAATTAGCATTTTTTTTTTGCTCACTTAAATCCATATTGTGGCCAAATATCTGATTGAATTTGAGTTTTCTTTGTTTTTTTATTCACACCAGCATGAAAAAAAAAGTGATGTTTTGGTCACACATTGAGCTGTTCGAGAATGGAATGTCTGTCTTTATCCGTGCATACAATAAAAAATTCATGTCATTTCTTATCATTCAACAGGTTGCGTAGTTCTGGAGCCATGTGAGGACGCAGAGACATATGTTAATGGGAAGCGAGTCACGTCGCCCACTGTGCTGCGCTCAGGTGTCAATGCAAACTGAATTGATGCAAAGATCCGCCATTCAAAAAGAGACATTTTGACGAGGCAAATGTGCCCAATCTAGGCAACCGCATCATCATGGGCAAGAGTCACGTGTTCCGATTCAACGACCCCGAGCAGGCCCGGCTGGAGCGCGAGAGGACGCCGTGCGCTGAGACGCCGGTGGAGCCCGTCGACTGGGCCTTTGCTCAGAGGGAGCTGCTGGAGAAGCAAGGCATCGACATGAAGCAGGAGATGGAGCAGAGGTGCAAGATTATGCGATGCAAAAGAAAAAAACAAAAGAGATTTTTTTTCAGACATTTTTTTTTTCCATACTTTGGCCAATCCCGCGACTTCTATTCAGGTGTGACATGTAATTGACCCGTTGCAGCCACGTCACATGGTCACGTGAGTGCACCATGA